AAAAAGGTGCAACTACATAAACACATAATTTGAATAAATACCTAATCAAGGTGTACTCACGCTTGCAGCAACGTTTAAGATTGTTCAAACATACTTTAAAGTGTAATAACCTTTGAGTGGCAGGGTATGCTTGCTCAGCTTTGTAATTTTGTGTTACCCCTAACATTTTTACAAGGTAGGTAATTAAAAGAGACTGTGAAACTAAGGTCTATACATACAAAATTATTTCCACACTATTCAAAGTATGCTCCAGAATAATTTTAAAGTACTAACACATTACTCATTGGAGGTTCGAGTGCCGATTTTCGAGCAGATCCCGTTTCCACTCATTACTTTGGTCCAGTTTTCCATTTGACGTTTAATGCAAGTTGATTCAAAGTAACGGCAGTTCTATGAACAACAAATCTATTATTAAGAGCATACATAACTTGCCAAAATCGTTTTTTAACACACGAAATACTCACAATTCTTCCTAAATGCCTATGATATGGTCTGGGCCAATCATTCACCTTGGAAAAATTCTATTAAAAAGAAACTGATGCTCTTATTAGACACAGATACATCAAAGTAATATACTTCGGATTTATGTGTAGATTTTAATACCAAGATGTTGTGACCTCTATTTTGCTCGCAAACTTCTTTCGATGTATTTAAATGCTATTCGTGTTTTCAGTAAGACCTAGTTGCACGCACCTTGTCAAAGGCTCTCTGCTATAATAGTTAACGCAATTCCTAGGGTTTGACACTGAGAATGTACAAAGCGCTGAGAAATATAATAACTACTATAACAAGTTTTGTTTAACTAGGCCGTCCTGACAACACGACAAAGTTGCGTAAACGAGGTCAGACCACTTCTATAATTTGGATTTTACTACATTAAGAACAAATAATGCTCTAGAAAATTTACATGCAGAGAAGTTCGATTATGTAACCAAAACTCTCAACATGGAAGGGTATTAGAATTATAATGCTTTCCACTTTAAAAAAATTTAATTAAAAATTTTCATCTATATTCTGAGGAACTTCAAAAATAATTATTTCATAATAGAGATAGTTAATTAAAAAATTTACACAAAAACAGAAGCCTTTTAATAAAAATCAATGTCAATTAGATTACAAATACAAAGTAGTTGAGTGAGACTGAGCGAAAAGATTTCGCATTAGCTCTCAAGCCACATACCTAAATTTGTTTCCTGGTTGATTTTAAAGCCTGTACGAAGTGCCGTTTTGGCTTGGTTTCAGGCTGTATATTTATGTGCATTAAGGACGCGTATAAAGGAAGTAGGAGGAAGTAAATGAAGCAAATTACCTGGTGGCAATATTTCAACAACGCTCATCAGATATTCTTCGTACCTCCGATAAAGTTCAACACGACTCGTAAGTTTGTTAAAGCTTTAAAGAAATAGTTTGCAAGTGAAGGAGGGAGGAAATAAAAATTAAGTGAAAGTAAGGCAAAGGCCCTGAAGAAATCTTCAGTTTAGTATATAAAAATTGAAGAGTGGGATTAGGTTAAAATTAAACGAAAAAGAGAATAAAAGACCTATAAATAATTTAGTGGTAAAACCTTTTTAGAATTTATTAATAGAAGAGGGAATAATTAATAAATATAATCTGGCTATATTCCATGAAATAATAGTTTCCATATTCGGTGTTTTCAGATACACTATGATAAAGTCAAAGTGGCTATAAAGTAATCTTGTTCTACAAAGAATAGGCAAAAGCATTGAATAGAATATATGCTGAAAAACTACGTTTTTGAGGTGTTACTTTAACCTCGTTTTCAAGACTTGGTCGGAGCGACATAGATACTTTCTGGAGGACAACTAGTTATGTGTCCTCTCCATTGTAGTTATGATTTCCAGCATCGGACAGTTGACTTAGCACATCTCCAGAAAGTTCGCCGCCCTTGTGATTTGCATTGTCAGTGAGAGGCCCCATCCTTAACAGAGTAACAACAATACAAGTGAAGGCAATTCCCTTGACCAGTTTTCTGTTTAACCATTTAGTCATCCCTTCTCTCCCCCTTATCATAGCGTCTGGCCTTGCATCCCCGCATAATAAGGCCCCTTTATCCATTCATGCCATTCTGTGTCCTCTTTTGCTCCAATGTCACCTAAAAGTGTTACATTTAAAGCAGATTTAATGAAGATTAATCACAAGGTTTCCTTTTCGCTTCAACCTAGTTTAGAAAACGAAGTCAAACCAACACTATATAGCTAAAGAGACGATGACCAAACAAAAAGTCACAGAATCTTGGTCATCATATCTAAACTTTAAGGATTTTTAAGTTCAAGATAGGATTTTTGGAAATGATTGCAAAATGTCATGTCAAACATGTTTGTAAACTTGCTAACCCTTGAGAATTATAAAATTAGTGTTAAAAATAACCGGACACAGCCTCGGAGTAATTATTATTCTGATTTGATCGATGATTGTCTATTAGTATATAAGTTTGATCATAGAATTGGTAAATTAAGTAAGGTATTGACCATGATAATTACTCGGTGCACATGACAGAGTGATAAGGGAATCTATAGCGTCAAGCTAGGTTGCAATGCGACGTGAGAATCTAGACTTTGGGGGCTTGTTTAGTAAGGCTGGCGAATATGTGCTATCAAAGTCTGGAGGCATAGTGTAGAAAAAACTGCTCGAGTTGCACGGATATGGTGAGAGCGATCGCGTGAAATCCTTGAACCAAGTTGAGAAGAGACGGATCCTACGGAGCAAAAGGGAGACTCTGATAGAGCCTGAAGGAAGAGGATTGTGGATTAGCACTCCCAGATTAGTGAGAGAGATATCGCATATAGCGGGGAGTGTAAATAGATCAAACTAGGTTTATATAAACGAGTAAGAAATCGACATATTAAGGGAGTGAATACTCAAGGACAGAAGGAGAGATACCAAAACTGTTTAGCAGACAATTGATCAAAGGATCGATTTCATTTGTTTCTTTGACGAGTTGTAGTATGGTGCTAAGAATTTTAAGGCTCGTTGGCAATGTCGACTACGATGCTGGTGAAACGTCTTGGAATGTACCAAATTCACAGTCCGGCTCTGGAAATTGTCATGCATACTATGAACTCCGAAGAAGGTTCGTTCTAGGTCTTCCTAAATTGGTAAAACAAGTTCTATACAACCTAAGAGACAGCGACCATACTAAAGGCCACACCATCTTGGTCTTCATACCTCAGATTAAAGCTTTTTCGTTTTTATAAGTCGGTTTTCGAGACTATCAGTAGCTTACGTATATGAGATGTATTCACCCTATTCCGTTTCAGGTGACGAAGGACTGGTAGTTGAAGTTTTCCAACAATTCTATGAGTAGACATGACTTTCCCATTTAATTTCACATAGCTTTGCTTTCCTAACAGATATTCTTATTAAGGGTGGACTGCTGTGTCAACTTAGCCTAGGTCTTGTCAACACCCCTTCCGGGACTCGAACTATGATAATGCAGTGTATATCTTCGACACGTTAACCAATTCACCGTATTGCCATGAGTGCCCTTGGGTGACAGGGCAGATGTGAATTTCAAAAAGGCCAGGCATTGACCCATATCGAGATTGTGGCGAGATTGTCGATTAAGCAAACTTATATTTGCTGTAGGAATCTGTGGCATTACTACTCGAAAACCTACTCAAAATGAATAAAATAAAGAAGCTATCATTAATAAAATAGTTATATAATGCAGATAAAAATGCCAAGAATTACTGAAAGGCACGGAGCACATATTTGAATCTTCCTCCTTCATTCTAATTGTAATAATAGAAGGGCTAAACATATATGTGTGTGCCCAAAGGGCATATAGAAATACCCCATTAACAACTAAGTAAACACTACTACTGCTTTGAGATTAGGAATAAGAACTTAAAGCATACAACCATTCTATTACGAATTAACTCCATCTATCTAGATAGTAAAAATCTTAAAATATAATACATTGTAAATAATTCGTTAATAGTTGGGACCTTATAAGAATATATAATTTTAAGTAAAAAAAGAATCCTTTATTATACCTAGGCTACAAATTATATGAAAGCAGCGAAAGAAGCTAATTTATGGCAATAGAGATAGGAAGCCAAGGTAACTATATATGCCTTGCTAAACAAATTTAATGGATAATTGTGATGCCTAATAGAAAATTATAGTTCCTGAATTAATAAGATACCCCCTATTAATAGCAGACTAGGTAAGAATTATTTTTTTTATGCACTAGCAAAAACATAAACACGACTGGCATTGATGAGTTACGAGCCTTATCCTGTGTGTCGTGGATATTTGTTTAGGTATAGCATCTCTTGGTATTAAAAATAGATGAGCATCTCATAATAGTGTATCTTCGTTCAGTACATAATTAGTTTTGGATGTGATAGGGCACTAATAGCAACAACTTTTAATCGCAAATAAAGTAAGAAAAACTATGGATAAAATAAAATGGAAAATTTTGTCAACCAATGAAGTCCTTTTAAGCAACTATTTTATGAGCAAAGGATTGATTATAAAGATGCAGGCTAGTATAGAATAAGTTGACCTTCGGCACCCAAGAACAATATTGGTGAGGCCCTCATTTTCTCATGTGATATATTTGTTGAACAAGCAAGGATTTGAAATAAAAATTGCTTACAAATGGATGAATTCCCTTCCGTGCCTTTTTAGCTTTTAACTTCAATAGTCGCTCATAAGTAAAGAATACAAGTGGTTTATTCGATACCCTCAAAAAGTTCACATCTAATTTTGTTACAGTGTCTCAATTGGCTTCATATATTTTCCAGCATATTCAATGAACATTCCGTCACTTAAATTAGTGCCAAAGTGAGTTCAAGGGTGATCACTTGTTATATAGTTAGTTGCTACACATGATATGAACAATCAATAGAAATGGAATAATTAATGCTGCAATTATGAAGAACTGCGTTTTGTCACTGCAAAGTTGTGAGATCAGTGACATAAAAATGTATTTTTGCTAAAATAGGTTATAAGGTCTTAATCCCTCTAGATCGCTAAAGATATCTAAATAAAAAATTTCGAGACAGAGCATACACATCTTTAACTTTATCCAGGGCATTCAGAACTCGCCGCTCCTCCAGCTGACGGCGCTCATTCAGCCGGAGCTCTTGGAAATATTTGTTAAGGGCGCGTCGGCGTTTTGACTCATTATCATGAACGAACCCCTCGAATCGAGTCATCTGATCTATCAGCTCCTGACGACGATCCTGCAACTCTGCGCGATACTTGGCACCTTCATGCATCTTAGACTGTGAAGTATTGGGAAATATTAAGATGATTATTTTGAAAAAATACTCGTATATGCTAATTTGTAACCATTTTTTGTGTCTGTTTTGTTATATATATATATATATAACATCTAATTATTGACAGGGAATACTCTCGCCTTGTAAAAGCATATGCCAATCTCAACGATTAAATTATTTTATTCAAGAACTGCCACCCTATCTGTGTCGTTCAAGGCACTGTATCCAATAAGTGTTGGATAACAAATGATTTTACGGAAGTTAAACAATCAAGATTTTAAAAATTATGGCTCGTTTGACTCCATCTATTGCAACTAAATAAATGTAATCTGGATCATAAAATATTTCCATGAATACTGGTTAAGGGCAAGCATAAGAAAAGAAATGGCATCAGCAAGTGTTTTTCTAAGAGACTTGCTTGTTCTTTTAACGAAAACACATACTTCGTAATATTGTTATCATAACCTTGCCAAGTGAGAACTAGCTATTTTGCAGGTCATTAGAAATGAATAAAGCTTTAACTTTATAGCTGATAAAAATCAAGTTAATTCCAAGGGGAAACTTTTAAAGGTTCTTGAGTCCTTGTCTCGACATTAAAACTAGGCGATAACTTATCTAAATAGCCTCCTTAATAAAGTAGATAATCCCTTCTTCAAGACAACGGTTTTCACCAAAACTATCACAGATTCTGTAGGAGGAGACAGGAATGAACGAAAAATTTCACTTTCAAAGGTTCTGCTAAGAATAAACTTTGTCTTTGTTCAAATTTGATGTTCATATTCATAGTGAGTAGGTTTTACTACTATACGTAGTTATTGAATAGGGGCTTTAGTGACCCCTGGGCATAATGTGATAAATGGTTGATAGTATAATTTTCCCACAAGGATATATGTAGGCCTCGCAATGGTATTGAATTTATCTTAGTCTTGTCTCCTAAAAGGTATTCTCATCCAGGGTAGACGGTGGTTTAGACCTCGCCTGAGTCTCATTAGTACCTCGAAGGAGAATCAAATCCGGATATAAATTTGACATATTACCACAATGCCACTCTACCACGAGTGGCAGTTAGTCACAGAGAAACGTAAATTTCGAGGCAAGCTGAGCCTCCCCCAGATCACATTAATGATAGAATTTTCGGTGAGCCAAACTTGTATTTTGCCATTACCACGTTATTCATAAAATAATGCGAAAATTTCGGTAATATCAGTAAAAAAAAGAAGAATTCTGTAGCAAAATGTTCGTTGGCAAAGTTTATAATACTTTCCTATGTCATTGTAAGTCAGTGAGCAAGCATAAGATATGAAAAATTGAGCATAAAAAAGACAGGCTGGAAAATGAAGAGTTCTTGAATCCTGGGCAAAATTCAAAGCCCCTCTTCTCTCTAAGAGAAAAACGGTTAGAAAGAATAAAATTATGTCTCTATTACGACGACGCACAGTTTGTATTTTCACATGGCCAATAGAACCTTAACTAGTTTTGACATTTAATAGTTTTTAATAACCAATTTTAGGATATTTTTTCTGGATCAATGCAATTCGTATCTTACTAAGAAAACATCATGGAAAGAAGCTTTGTGAAGTTGGTGTGATAGTGTCTGTGCACTTTGGCCTTATGGGACCAATCTCTCAGGTAAGCGATGCAGATTAAGGGGTAAAACGCGAATAAGATGGAAGTATGGATAAGCATCGAGATTACGAATGCTAGCATTCGGGTGTAATAAGGTGTGTAAGGGAACTAAAGAATTAACATATGGCAGTATTCTACTAATGTCAACGTGAAGTTGAAGTCGAACAATGAATAATTTCTTGTGTAGGAATAGGTCACAGTTGATTTAAGAAATGAGCTTGCAGTTCCTTATCATGTAATAAGTTTAAGGCTCGGTATTCGCCAAACGAATGTTAAAAATGAATCCTTGTGAATTCTTCCTTTATTCCAAATATATTGAAAAATGTATTTATGCATAACTCATACCTTTTATCCTATTTAATATTATATTAATCGTAAGATTAAAGTAGTGTGCTTATATAAATGAAAATGTATAGTATATTTACATCAATTAGAAAATATAGTTGAAGACTCATTAGTTGGATCGTCAGTTAATTTATAGCTTAATTTTAGAATACAAAAAGTTTCTTCGCCTAGAATACAATCTGGCTAACATTGTCAGACCAGTAAACTTCAAACGTAGCTATAAAGACGAAGATGTCATTGTCTCTGTTTATTCGCAGTCTCCTTTTGCTGTATAGAAGTGGTCCAACCTCGAATCTTGGTCGAGTTGTAGGACGACCTGGATAAAAGCGCCTTTCCGAAATCTTTTACAATAGTAGTTATGATATTTTCCAGCATCGGACCATGAACTGGATACATTCCCACCACTTTTGTCGGCATTTTCAGTGAGTCTTGCTATTCTTAGCACCAAGCTATAACTCGTGAAAGAGACATGTGAATTTCAAATTTTATCAAATTTCTTCTACAGTCCTGCCATATTTTCCTATCCCTATCCTCATATCTCACTTCCTTACTAACAAAACTTCTGACTCGTTTATATTGGACTACTCCAAAGATTTGCCCCTTTTGGCGAGATTACCGGAGAGTTATTACACCTCCAGTAGGTTTACTTTGCCCTCCACTTGATTTGTCGAAATCGTTGATTT